ATTAATTAAGGTGTGCTTGTTATACACGAACGAAATATTTTAAAGCTGTGTGTAAAGAATAATGACATCTCTTATTGGCTCTATTACTCTCGCCACTTATGTATAATCACTCTCTACACTAATATTCTATCTCTCTTCGTTAAGATCTCTTCCCGTTCCATTCAACCCCATTTTGTTTTCTGCATTATATATACTCATAGAAAAGCACCTGCTTTTTCGTCGGTTAATAAATAAACAGTGAAGGATAGAATTCCTTTCCATTTGGCGATGTCATCTCGAATTTTTGTGAATTCCTGGTCGTATATCAGGCTACCATATATGTCTGCATGTTCTTATACACTTTTATGTCAGTATTTCGTGCCTTGAATAGAAATACTTGAGCTTTATTGAGTGTTTTTCAGAGTCCAAAACGGGTCGGGTCGGGTTCTGGTTGAGGTAAAAAACTTTGGTTCGGGTAGGGTTAAAGGAAAAAAATTCGGGTTTTACGGGTCGTGTCACTTGAATATAAATCAGGGAATTTTCTTCGGTTACGGTTCACTATCTGTTTTTCAACATGTACCATTTTTATCGGAAAAACAAGTAACCCCCTCTCCCTTCTATTTTGTCCCGCAAGTCGAGTTCCAAAGGGCGCTATAATGTGTCCCACGACATAACCGTACCATTAAGGAAGGTCAGGAATCACTTTCACGTTACTGTGTTTTTTACTATGTGACTATAAACATATTTTTTATTCGGTTCCCTCTGATTAATTATCGATGAAAAAAAAATAAAATATTTTTCCAAGTGACGTATTTGAAAGTCATTTACGTCCGCTTTATTGTTTTTCGTGTACTGTCCCGAGCTGTTTGTTGTGTATTTTACCAAGTGAATTATTCAAACTGTCACTTCGGAAAAAAAACAATGGTTGAATGTTGTAAAATTTTATGTCAAACAGAAAACGAAAAATATTTCATTTTTCAAACATATAATTGTGAAATTTATTAACAGATATATATATAAAGGATGATAAAAACTGAATTGTTTTAACGCTTTTAGTATATTCCTTGTTGGCTACGTATATATCAAAGCAGAATTTTTATTGTTGAAAAATCGATCTCGTTATTCTTGTTCTCTGTTTTATTCTTAGCAATTATTCACTGTACTTTAGTTAGGTTCGAATATGTTGCTTCCTTTTTTTCCTTTTAAGAGTCAGCTTTTTTGAAAGTGGTATGACTCTCACACAGTGAAACAAGAGAGATAAACAGTTCATATTCATACATAAAACAACGCGCGCGAAGTTTAGAGACCGGTTGTGGTTTTTGTTAGTTTTAATTTAATTTGTATATTTATTATGGACATTCGAAACTGTTTTTACATCTCGATCCTGAGTCTCAGAGCAATAACAACATCAAAAGCATGATAAGAAGAAAACATACAATCGAATGTTATAATTCTTACGATCTGGGGGTAGTTGCGAAGAAACCGAAATCAACTATTATCGGCGCCAAAATAAAAGACTTGTGCTTGTTTCTTGAATAACTCTGTCACCTTGATAGATAGCGATCTGCGGTTTTCAGTTTTGAAAACTAGACATGTGATCACATATTTCTGTAAGCAAAAGTGAATTTCAGAAAAAATTCTGAAGCGGGTTTTTCAGAGGATCTTGGAAACCAGCTTGGATTTTCACATCAATTCACATAAGAATGTATTGATTCTTTTTCATGGACTGATAGCTCGAAGTGTTCTCTTCAAAATGGGAGGAAAGCGAGGCCTTGATTTTCTGCGGTTCGGACGTTGTATGGGATATACGACGAGTCTAAGGACTAGCACCCCAGTGACTCTTGGTAGCCTTAAAGACAGATGGACTATGGATAATCGACCATGTTGAGTCTCGTGGCAATAATTGTTTTTAGAAAAAGTTTTAAAAATCTACCGAAAAACCAGCTTTAGAAAAACTAAGGTTTTCGGGCTGTTTTAACCTAACATTAAACAATTCACTATTCATTCAAAAAGCATCAGAACTAGTTCAAACCCTCAGAATACCCTCAAACCTCAGCAAACACAGTCTAAGACTGTATCATCAGGAGCTAAATAATAAAACAATCCAAAATTACTTAATAGAAAACTAAACAATTTGATAGAGAGACAAACAAACTATATATCTTTCATTTTAACTTTTTTCTTTTTCTCATTCCTATTCGGTGTTATACATCCTTCAGGATAACTAACTAACGGTACCGAACGAACCGTTTCATTCAAGTCTGGACTAAGCGCTATAATATATAATGATATAAGGACGAAGGAGGAAGGATTTGATAATTTACCTTTAAATTATCCATGCGATTCTAAATCTGCAATATCCAGTCTCACATGTGACAAAGGTCATGAAATGAAGTGGTCAGAATGGAAGATTCTATTGTCGGTAAATAAAAGAATGGACTCGGATGTTTTTTGAATAACGTTTGACAGAAAAGTGGCAGATGCTTGCGGTCTTCACTAATCGAAAGCTAGGACCTAACTGCAACTTTTCACACTGAAAGTCATTTTCAAAATCTTTCCCTAAAGCGAGTTTTTCAGGAAATCTTTGGAAAACCAGGTTATTGCTCAAAAACTTGAAATACAAATTTTCCTGCACTCCACGTCCTGGTGCTTATTTCATGGTAAAATATGACACAGATAGATATCAGTTTCATTTTATTCTTGTTTATGTAACATTATACTGATTTGAAATAAAGTGAAGTAGTTCTAAGATAGTACGGTAGTTATAACAGCTTAGGCTCAGTACGGGTTCCGAAAGTTCATATGTAAAAACGTTCTTGAATCGTTAAACAGAGAGTGCCATAAGACTCAGCGTGGTCGATAACCCCTCTCTACAGTCATTTGTGAGGTTCCCATGGGTGAGAAAAGACCAGTTCTGGGACTCCCAGGAAATTCGATGCCAGGCCTAAGTGATCGAAGGTGAGAGTCTCGCTTGACTGCCATTTTGAAGAGGACATTTTGGACTATCTATCCATGAAAAAAATCAAACCATTTGTATTTCAAGTTTTAGAGCAAAAATCTGGTTTTCCAAAGATTTTCTGCAAAACTTGCTTTAGGGAAAGATTTTGAAAATGACTTTCAGTGTGAAAAGATGCAGTTAGGTCCTAGCTTTCGATTAGTGAAGACCGCAAGCATCTACTACTTTTCTGTCAAACGTTATTCAAAAAACATCCGAGTCCATTCTTTTTTTTTACCGATAATAGTACTATTAATCAGCGTACCTCAATTACACATCATCTATACTTAGCGTTAGACAAAGGTCATTCTGTAAGAGGCGTTTTCTTCGACATAACGAAAGCGTTTGACAGAGTATGTCACGATGGTTTGCTACTGAAATTAGAGCAGTTAGGGGTTGAAGGTTCCTTACTTGAATGGTTTCGATCGATCCTGTCAAATAGGATGCAATGCGTTCGTGTCGAAGGACACACCTCGTCCTACGGAATGGTTGAATCAGGAGTGCCCCAGGGATCAATCTTGGGACCGCTCTTTTTCTCATTTATATCAATGACATCGCCAATCTGGACTTAAAAAGCATGTTATATCTATATGCGGATGACACAAAATACCCTTGTCGTAAATAATGTCCACAAATACATCGTTGACACTAAAAGATTCACTTAACATTGTTTACTTCTTGTGCTACTCTATCTATTGTTATATGTAGAGAGGAAAAGTTTTTTGCATATTACAATCCTCGTTAAATAAATTAAACTATATACTGGTAAAATTGATACCATCATGACTAATGATTATATCGGATGTAATATTGAATGGAGCTGGTGCTTGATCTAAGCTACTATTACAGTCTCTGTCAAAGTCACTACTACATCACTCGTGCCAGCATTGTTATAAAATGTTTCACGTGCTGCAGCCAACGGGTTTGTTAAACAACTAAAATCATAAACACAACTGAAATACTCTAGAGTTACGTATTGCTTGTCAAATCATTTTTTCTTGTCTACAGACAGCAGGTCCATTGGATCCTACTTCGTTCAAAACGATAAACTGTATGAAACCTTGTAACTTGTAAACAGATCTACGATACCTTATCTGATGCAGTTTCACCTGATGTTTGAAAATCTGGTTATAGATAGAAACAAATGTGAAAAAAGTTTTTTCCGTGTCCAAGGTGATAACAGAAAAACACAGATAAACCTACAGTGTATATATGGACAGAATATTTTCAGCTAAACATGTATTAAATTATTACTGCTACTTTCCATACATGATTTTGAGGTCCTTCATCAAATTTTTTCAACAAGAATAAACAAAGAATGGCACTGATTAATATTGTCCTGTCGAAAAAAGTGTCTTGAGTTTAGTGGCGAATGTCCGTTGCGAAAATATTCCAGCTATTTTGGACACTTTATAAGTAGAAAAAATGTTGCTTCTGACTACTGTTCAAATCTACATGTATTTGTAAAGATTTGATTAAATTAGGAAAAAGGAAAATATGTATTATGAGGATGAGAGTGAGTGAGGGAAAAAAAGACAGGGAAGAAAAGTAAAAGAGTTTCTTGTGTATTCATTTGTTAACTAATGAAGAATGAGCATGAGTTTTTTCATAGATGAACAGACATAAGTTTACTCTGCTCCGAAAACTAAAACTTTCCTTAAAACGTTGAGAAATGACGTTTCCATTTACAAAATATTTAAAGGTGAATAAAGACGTGATCACATTAGAGCGATCGACTCTTTATGGAAAAAAAGAAGCAGAACAAGATTTTTCGAAAGGTTACAGGGCGAGAGAAGAAAAAAAACGAGAAATGCATAATGAACTTTTTTGTATTCTTTTTTCCTGCAAAAGTTACCTAAAGACGAAGAAAATTATTCATTTTAAAACGTTAGACAAATATTAAGAGTTATTCATGTGAAGCAAAGTTTTGATAAAGAAGTAAAAAGTATTTTTAAGGAAAGTTTGATGTAAGAGTGTATTTCTAGTTACATATATAGTGTTACTGTTAGCAAATACTTGTAGACAGTTAAAAACATCCTAGGTACACGCCGCTATCATAGTCATTAGGGTTAGCTGTGTCATCAAACGTAGGCACAGCCGGTAGTTCTTGTTCTTGACGAATCACAATTATCCATCGCTCAATTTGTTCGGGAATTTGAATATATACTTTTGGTATACCTGCGGGTGGATTATGATAAATCGTACTAAATTGTTCACTGAAATATTGTTCAAAATGAATGGGTCCGTTTACATAGGCTATTGTGCTTATATTAAGTCGAGCACATATAATTGCTTCACTTTGGTTGTTTGGATCTAATTTTGTTGTAAAATAAAAATCACGACCAAATGATCGATTTTGAGGATTTCGTCTAAATCCAGTAATTGCAATGTTATATGCAGTTTCTTTGCTTGTTTGATAAAAACCGATAATGACTTGATTTTCGGTGATATCTGGAATATGTTCTCCCTGTTGAAAAACCGGCAAAGGATGATACATTAGTTGATGATGAAGACTTAGTGAATTGCAATTTTGTCCCGCATGACATGATCTTACATTCCAACGTGTGGTACTACGATCATTGAGAATTTGGTAGGGCATAAAACGTATATGAGATCGATGCATACGCATACCGGCACTACGGGCTGGATTTGGATGATATGTCCATAAACGATAAAAATGAAATATTTCAATAATAACTGTACATAGGAAAAAGGGAATTAGTGAGAAGATACTTAACACTGTGTATGCAGTACATATATTTGGACCGTAACGACTAGCACACGCAGCACCAAGAATAAATGCAATAAACCGAATAATGAAAAATGCTAATAATATACCCACTCTAGTTAATAGAATTCCTTGTGGATGATCTTGATAGCATTTGCATTGAAAACACGTTAACACCGCTACACGCCATATAGTTTTTCGTTTACAACATCCCCAATTAACCTCTTCTTCTTCAAATAAGTTTCGCACAACAAACTTCATAACGATATAAATAACATTTGAAACAATGATAGGTAATGAAGAAATGAGTTCAAGTAGCAATATGGGTACAGAAAAGTTGATACCACCTGAACCCTTATGTTCACTATTTAAATCACCACTTACAACACCTAGACGAACAATAAATATAACAGCATCAATCGTATGTAATACAATTAAGCCGGTCAAACGTTTGCGATCATTGTAGAAATTGATTGGCCATCGAAACGGAAATTCCATCTAAGACGAAGTCTTACTACTTATACTTCCTTATCGATGACACAGTTACCATTACTTTAGTTCCATTTTAACAATTAATAGCAACTACGAATTTAACGTCACTTTTAGTCACTTCCAGTTACTATTGAGCTGCTTTTGTGTTAAAAATAGTTGGAAGTATTGGAAAGTGACTAAAAGTAACGTTAAATTCGTAGTTGCTATTAATTGTTAAAATGGAACTAAAGTAACGGTAACTGTGACATTCGTGCGTTCTCTATTGACGTGTTTTTTGTTAAAACGGAACTGAAAATCAAATTCATGCTCCTTTTTCGTCAACGTAACTGATATTTAGCAAACCAGCTTTTGTTTTATCAAGTGTAGTGAAAGAATAGAAAGAATAAATATTTTAATTTTAAGTTTCAGTTGAAGTTTTTTTAAAAAAAGGATAAAAGGAGAGAAAAAATGCATTGTCTATATATAAACAATACATTTTTCCTTTCTTTTTTCCCTTTTTTTCTGCACCTTCATTTCTTCTAAGAGAAAAAATAGCCTTTCCTGCATGATTGACAAAGAAGAAACACACACTGTAGTCACATCAACTATTGTGTTAAGGTATCGTCATTGATTTTTAAACATGAAAAGAATCATACAGAATTCTTATAAAACGTCTAAAATTTTCAAATAACTTTCGTCTATCGACTTCTAAACTGTTTTCCAGAAACCTCGAAAAATCCCCAAGGGTTTTTGTAAATAAGTTACAACTGTAACCCGCGAAATTCTGATCAAAATGAGACATCACCCAGCTCTACACGACTTTTCTTTGCAAAGTTGTAGAATTCACAAGAAAAGTCTTAAATTCATCTTTTCTTCTTCTTTCTGTAGCTCGGAGGTGACAATAAACATTTAGGGCTTTTCGTGTAAATTCTATAGCTTTGCAAAGAAAGGTCCTGTAGAGCTGGGAGATGTCTCATTTTGATCAGAATTTCGCGGGTTACAGTTGTAACTTATTTAGAAAAACTCTTGAGGATTTTTCGAGGTTTCTGAAAAACAGTTTTCCAGAAACCAGTTAGGAAACGCCTATGGACAGAAACAGCTATCATATTCGGAATCAGCATGGTCGATTATCTATAAACTACCACATTTCGTTAGAAAAGCAGTTGGACTCCTGAAAAGGTTCCCTCGTCACTTCTTAGATTTGAACTTCTGATAGATGAAAACACTACTCCATTATCTGCTGGTACAGCCAGATCTTCGAAGACTACAGCTATGAATTATCGAAAAGGTATTTATGGGCAGTTTTTTTCTTGAAATAGATTGAATCTACTTTATGAAACTTCGATATTACGTATAGCATGAATGTTAAGACGTGGTTGCGAAACGATAGAAACCGTTATAGAGGATTGATACTGTTTCATTCTATTGATGCTTTCACATTTTTTCTACGTTTCATTATATTGTGCACGGATTTATCGGCAAGTATTTATCAGCCCGACAGTGAACGGTTTTTAGTGCCGTTGGTGATATTTGACTTTACATCATCGTTTTTACTTATCTTTTGCAATTTAACGTATGTGTTAATGAAATATGTTGGATCAATTTTATATGAAAGTGATCAAGATTATATATGTATTAAAAATAAAAAGTATTTATGGCATTTGGCAACATTGACCTGCTTTAGTTGTGACTGTTATCAAGATCATCCACAAGCTATTTTACTTACCAGAGTTTGTATATTACTTTTTCTATTCGTATTACGTTTCATTGCTTTTACTTTGGGTGCAGCCTGTTCGAGCCAATACTACCCTCGTGGCACAGCATATACAGTGATAGCCAGTTTTTCTCTTATACCGTCCGTTATAACAATTATTCTCGAAATAGCCCATATGTTTCGTTTATGGAATTATCGACCAAATAATGACTACGGTCATACATTAGATAGAGCACATAAACGATACATACCATATGCACTAGTCAATGATCAACGTACAACACATTGGCGTGTATCATTATGTCAGCGACAACAATGTATATCAACAAATAAATGTCACGTATTGATGTATCATTCATCAAATGTACATTTTAGACCAGGCAATCGAGGTAATAACCATGATACTATTCAGGATAACCATGTTGGACGTCCATCTGATACATTTGACAATCAAATTGTTATTGGTTTTCATCAAACATCAAAGGAAGCTGCCTATAGTATAGCAAAAAATGGTTTTTCAGTTAGTACACAAGGAATGATGGGTAGAGGTGTTTATTTTGCTCTGTCTATTAATCACACGGAATTTAAAGCAAATCAATACGGTGCAATTATATGTGCGACAGTAAATTTAGGTAAAGTGCTAAGAATAGAAAGACGTCAAGTACCTGTTGACATAGATGTGAGAGCACAAAATTATGACAGTGTCTATTGTGATCATCCAAACGGCTATGATGAATTTTGTGTCAGACGACCACAGCGTATCGAAAGTTGGATAATCACTGTTAATCAAAGTCTTGATATTCAACCAGGACTAGATCAAGCTGTTGTACATGATCCATTTGAAGGTGATGTGTATGAAGGATGTATGTAGATTAACATACTTCCGGCATCACATCTGATATACTGAAACTTTGATAGTATGGAGAACATATTTTTCCTCCATCACATTGACTTGAAACTCGATCTTCTTTTGTCAGTAATGTAGTGAATACACCATGAGAATCATTTCGGACATAAGTATTTAATTTAATCGGGACTAAATTTAATTCTTCAAAAAACTTAAATTTCTTCATTACTGTGCCCTTTCTTCAAGCGAGTTTTATCATCGTTCTAGAGCGAATAAAAAAACTTCTGTTGATTGAAACAGATGACCAACACTTGAGAATTGAAAATCCACTCTTGAAACTAAACGAAAACTTTCACTTTTATTTCATAAATATCCATGTTGCTATCGATTGTGCCTTATGAGATGAAATAAGTACTCTGTTATTCCGGGAGACATCGTCGTGTCAAACTCAGTTTTCTGTCTTCGATTACAGCAACGGAAAAGAATGAAATGAACAACTGGAGGGAAAGTCTGAAATTATTGTTTCTAACTGCGCTTAAACAACAAAAGTTAACGTTTCTGAACGCGTCCGTTTATTGAAAAATCGTCCTACTAAACGCGTCAAAACCTGCCGCGTTTCTAAGCGTTACTGTTGCATAAACGCTTTATTCTACGTTAAACTTCGCACATTTGGACGCGTTTTACTTTAACTATCGTGTTGAAACGCGTTCAGTGGCTGCTAAAACGCGTCACCTGTGGCAGAATATGAGGTTTCTTGCCTACAACATTACACAACGAGGCATACATATTCGGAATTAGCGTCTAATTTTGTATAAAACTGTATTCTCAGGTCGTTCAAATTCTCGAAAAAAGTTTTTTCGAAAAATTTTAAGACAAAGGCCCCCCTCAATGACGTCGAAAAATATTTTTCTCTAAACTGGCACAATGACACTTTTTCTGACTCAAAATTGAATACTTGTCGCGAAAATCGCATTCACAGTTCATCAAAATGCTTCCCTGTGAAACGGCGGCCGAAACAAAAATGGGTCGAAAACCGTTCTTTTTAGAGTTTTTGACTCTCAGCTGCCATGAGAAGGGCCTGTCTGGTCTGAATGACTTTGTCTACATGTAATTCACTGTGCTTTATCCAAATATATAAGAATCAAATTGATTGGGAAACACTTCGGCCCTGAAACCTCCAATAACCCGAAGGATTTCCCGTCTCCGACTTGTTCACTGTCAAAGGTACATCTAGAAACCGTAATCCAATAAGCTATTTACACCGGAGATAGATTAAACAGCGCTCTTTCTAATGGTGTGTCGTTCAAGTCGAAAATCAACGTCTATAGGCTTCATCTGATCACAACAAAGTGAAGATACGATTTTGAAGGTTTTAGAAGGGAACTCCGTATATTTTATGAGTGTTTTTAGAATAAAAACAGTAGTTTTGAAGAGAAGATGTGTATTCTATCTTAACTATAGTCAATCTGTTTTCAAGGTTACCAATAGTCACCGGGCGCCAGTCCTGGGACTACTATCGGCGCCAAAACACGGTGGTGATCAGTGTTTTGCTAATAATTTTTCACAGAGATGAGACAGCGATCTGCGATTCCACCGTTGAATAGCCAAGACCTTAAGACATGTTTTTGTAAGCAAGAACTTGTTTCAGAATTTTCTGGAAGTTCAATTCTCCAGAGGATCTTTGAAAAACCAGCTCCGTTCTCAGAAAACTAACATATGGTGTTAGTAGTTTTTTGCTTGCGCAGATAGTCGGGGCGTTACTCTACAAAACTATGCAGGTCCCACCTCTCCAGCTATCATCGTTCGGACAGAGCTTGCTTTCCCCAAGTACGGGTCTATCTTCCCGCAGATTTCTCTGGGAATCTCAAAATGCCTTGGAATATAGGTAATCGACTACGCTGAGCATAGTGACGACATTTCGTTTTGTGTAGAAATGAAAATAACTTCGCCAGAGGCATTTTTGTGAAAAACCGGTTTTTCGCCTTTTACTAGCAAAAATTAATGGATTCAGCGTGGTTAATTACGTCAGTTCTATGCGATTTCAAGACTACCTAAAGTTAACGAATACCAGTCCAGGGGCTCAAAGGAGGTCCGATACCACGCCCGAACCACTGAAAATCAAGGTCTCGCCTGGCTCCCATTTTGAACAGGACACTTTGGGCTATGTATGCATGAAGAAAAATTAAAATGGTCGTATCTCTAGGTTTCGAGCTATGAGCTGGTTTCAAAAGATCTCCTCGGAAACCTACTGCAAAAAAAGGTTTTGAGTTAGTGTCTATTATAAAAAGACGCCTCAAAATTGCTTCTTTTGGATGTTGAAAACCCGAATTCTTTAACAGGCGCAGGCCTCATAATTTGAAAACGATGTAGAAATTTCAGCACGACAAAAAGAGAAAATGTTCTCCGGATTTTTTATAGTTTTCTGGTAGATATAATAATTATGATAATTTTTCATCCAAGAACACGTTAGGAAATCTTTTGAAATCCTTTGGAAAAATGTTTTTCATGTATTGCTTTACTGAAAAGTAATACTAATTTTATAAATATTCCTATTCCCGGTAACAGTAATACTTTCAGTATTACTGTTACTGGGAATAGGAATACTGTGCAATATTACTGCTACTGATAACAGTAATACATGGAGGATTACTGTACCAGTAATAGGAATATATACAATGTTTGTATTCCTGGTAACAGTAACAGTAATGTGCCACCCCTACTCTCAGCGCACTACCAATTGATGTAGTCTGAAGCAATATTTTTGCAACGTTTGATGCAACTGAACGCGTTAGATTGTAACACAGATAAGCAGATAAACAGGTTTCGAGATTCTCACAGTGGAACGCATTCCAACCTGAAGTCAATGGCTACAGAGGACTATCAAAGCTACAGGATGACAAAGAGTGAACGTGATTTTTTCGCTTGAAAACGCATCTTTTCAGGGAAACGTTCGTTCTATTTTTCATTTTTTTCGTTAACAAATTGTGTCCTGTTGTCCGGCATTAAATGGTTCAAATAGCGTGCTTTAACGGGATATCTTATTTCTTACGTTGGAACACGTTAATTCTTTGTAAGTAACGCATTATTAACGTACATTAACGAGTGCAACGACAATAAAAGTCGTACAAAAACGGAAAATTACGAAAACTCTTTGCAAAAAATAGTAGTATTCTCATGGTATTCCCGTTTCATTTTTGCTGAGACCTGATCGCCAACACAATTCTTTCTGATGTAATGAGAAAATGCTGATCTTGGCAAAATAAAATACCGATCTTGTAGTTGTCATTGAGTTCTCGATCAAATCAGTAATGCGATCCCGTTCTGATTTATGTTTCAAAAGTGTGAAATGGTCACGGTAAGATTACAGCAACATTTTTCCTTCGAACATCGTTGACGAAAATCGAAAATTTTTCAAACTAATCGTTCTTTGCCATCTGCAGATTTAGTTTAGGCTGTTTCTTGAAACAGTACGAAAGCAAGAATATAAATTCTCATTAAATAAATCCTTGCACGAAGCCAGGATCAAATACACGAACTTCGTATTTTCCTCTATCTCGTCCGCAACCGTGTAATGTTTTTTTTTATTTCGTCTATCCGTCGAAAGAAGAAAAATAAAGAGAGCTACAAGAGTCATTTATTCACAGAACCACTAAGCTTTGGAACGAACTTCCCTATGACCTTCGATCACAGACACGATTTCATAGTTTTAAAAATAAACTAAAATTACCGCATGAACTAAAGTTTCGACTACCTGTGACCGAGGACCGAATGGCTGACATTGACTTTTTCCTTTGCAGAGTAAATTTCAGTCAATTAAACTTTGACCTCGCTAAGCACCATCTAGTTGAAGAATGTATATGTACATGTGGGTTTCTCCCTGTCCCCTTTTCACTACGGGAAGATCTCCAATGTTAAATATCTTCAAGACGGTGTTAAAGGTCAACATCATCCAGTTAAACCATATCCTCTTTAGGGATCCAAGTTTTTCTCTTATGAATAAACGTGACTTATTCATATCATATAATAGTGTATTAGACTTCATAAAAACGACAAAACGTTTCCGTCCGTGATGTGGTTGTACTTGGCCTGCTTTTATTGTTCTGTAGCAGACACGCTCAGGTCGAAATCGATAGTGATCCGTTGATAACATTCTAACATGATAAACGAGTCCTTAGAACTTACTCTCCCTTGTCCTAGAATAGTTTGCCGTGCTTTCTCTAATATATTATCAGCTATTCTTTCTCTTCTTTTTCTTAGCAATTAACTGTATTTCTCTTTTGATCAAATTGTCACAACATGTAATGAGCATAGCTCGATTTGTTGTTTAATAAACTTAGTTCAAATTAGAGAGAGGTGCAACAAATAGTAATTTTCTTTTCTTTTCTCTTTTCTATTTTGTTTTCTTATTCACGTTATATAGCCTGTGCGTATTACAATGTGCGTTATATATGTTAGAGGGAAGTATGAAATTTATACATTCCCTGATAGCGTTCAGTCAATTTGAGTATATGATATCGAAATTCGAATATAATAAATTCATGAATTATGCGATGTTTGAAGTTAGAGTAGACAAAAATCGTAAAATTTAGTAATCTACTATCCATTTCAAAATAGA